GCGGGGGCTGTCTCTCAGCCCAGCCTGCACCCTCTCACAATCCAGGACCCCTCAGGTAGGGTCCAGTCCCATCACAGCATGGCTCTGGTTCCCCAGATCCTGAGGGCGGGGGGAGGGACCCAGAGGCTAGTCTGATGGCAGCATGGCTCTATTCCCACACCTCCCTCCCACCCCAGCACCACGGGCAGCTGGGCCCCACAGTTCCCACCCGCCATTGCACCGTGGGCAGCCGGGACCCAACCCATGCACAAATTCATCCACTCGGCTCTAGTTTTAAATAATAGCCTTGCTGGTTAAAGTAGTCTTGGTTGTAGGTCTTTGTTTCTCATAACTTTGACTATTTCATGTAAATCCCTTCTGGCTGGAAATGTTTCTGTTGAGGAGTTAGCTGACAGTCTTATGGGAGCTCCTTTTAGGTAATTAACTGTCTTTCTATTGCTGCTTTTAATTCTTTCTTTGTCTGTAACCTTTGACATTTTAATTATGATGTGTCTTGTTGTGAACCTCTTTGGATTCATCTCATTTGGGACTCTCTTTGCATCCTGAACTTGTGTGTCTTTTTCCTTCACCAGGTTTAGGAAGTTTTCTGTCATTATTTCTTCAAAAAGGTTCTCCATTTCTTGCTTTCTTCTCCTTCTGCTCCCCCTATGATGTGCATACTGTTATCCTTCATGGTGTCCCAGAGCTCCCTTAGACCAGTGGTTCTCAGTCTTCTGGCCCTTTAAATATAGTTCCTCATGTTGTGACCCAACCATAAAATTATTTTCGTTGCTACTTCATAACTGTAATTTTGCTACTGTTATGAATCGTAATGTAAAGATCTGATATGCAGGATGGTCTTAGGCGACCCCTGTGAAAGGGTCATTACCGCCAAAGGGGTCACGACCCACAGGTTGAGAACCACTGCCTTAGACTATCCTTATTTTTTTTATTTTCTTTTTCTGTTCTGATTGGATGTTTCCTGCTACCTTGTCTACCAAATCACTGATTTGATCATCTCCTTCACCTAACCCACAATTTATACCTTCTTTTGAAGTGTAATTCTTCATTTTAGATATTGTATTCTTCACTTCTGACTGGTTCTTTATTATAGTTTCTATGTACTCTTCTGTGCTTACTATCTCTTTATGTTCTCGGTTCATCCGTTCTTCCCCTAAGTTCCTCGAGCATCCTTATAATCATTGTTTTGAACTTTGTATCTGGTAGATTGCTTGCCTCCATTTCATTTAGTCCTTTTTCTGGGAATTTCTCCTGTTCTTTTATTTGGGGATGTTTCTTTGTCTCCCCATTTTTAATTTTTGTGGGTGTTTTTAATACTCACCCAAGGATATTTTTTCACTGATTTTTAGTGAGAGTGGACGGGAATGGGCAGGGAAGAGAGAGAGAGAAGCACCATTGTGAGAGAGAGACATCAATTGGTTGCCTCCCACATGTGCCGCTAATGGGGCCAGGATTGAATCTGCAACCCAGGTACGTGACCTTGACCAGGAATTGAACCCAGGACCCTTTAGTGTGTGAGCTGAGGCTCTAACCACTGAGAAATGCTGGCAGGTCTCTCCCCATTGTGGCTGCCTCTCTGTATTTGTTTCTATGCATTAGGCAGGTCTGCTATGATTTCCAGTCTTGGTATGGTGGTCTTATGTAGTAGTTGTCCTGTGGGGCTCAGTTACACAGTCTCCCTTATAACCTGAGCAAGGTGCTCTGGGAATGTTCCTTGTGTGGGTTATGTAAGCTCTCCTGTTGTAGTTGAGTTTTGATTGCTCTTGGCCCCTCCGTGTATAAGCTTGAACCTCAGACTGGCTGACTGTGAGAATTAATCTCAACCATAGAGTATGAGATGCTGTCTGAGTGCTGACCACATTAAGTGGAATTCACCCCAGCAGGGTCTGCTGCCTGCTGAGATCTCCCTCTGAATATGCTGCTTATGGAGCTAAGTGGGTCCTGCTCTGATGTGGTCTGAAGCCCACCACTGGATGTGTTTCTTCTGGGACATCCTGGGAGGGACTCCGGTGCATGTTGATGTCAGATGCTGCCTGTGGCTGGCCCTGGGCTACCTGTTTGGAGCAACAAAGCAATCCACCATTTGTGGCTGTCTCTATTGGGCCTGGGTGTGCATGGCAGGGGTCAAGATGTGCACCAAAGCTGGCTTCCAACATCATCAAGCGCAGGAACAGGTCAGCAAAAGGCCTAAGACACACCAAGATGTGCTTCCACTGCCTCTGCATTCTGACTGCCTGTTAGGTTCAGTCATTGAAAGAGCTTCTGGCAGTATGGGTCTTGCATGAAGAAGGTTCTCAGTGATTCATCAGGTACCCAGTCTGATGATTTTCATGTGAAGCTGATGGGCAGGGAAAAGTGAAGATGTGCTGCCTCCAGGGGATAATTTTGTCCTTCCCATACTTTCCCTCTAATATCAACCTCTTTATTTTTTTAATATTTTTATTGATTTCAGAGAAAAAAGGAGTGGGAGAGAGAGATAGAAACATCAATGATGAGAGAGAATCATTGATCAGCTGCCTCTTGCACCGCCTCAAACTGGGGATTGAGCCTGTAACTCAGGCATATGTCCTGACTGAGAATCGAACAGTGAACTTCTGCTTCCTAGGTTGACTCTCAACCACTAAGCCATGCCAGCTGAGCCTCTGTATTGTTAATTAATTTTAATTGGCACCTTTCTATATGCCAGGCAGTTGTCTGGGTGCAAGTAATACCACAATGCATGGGTCCTGGCCTCTCTTAATGGGAACACTTACTTATGGGCTGGTTCTTTACAGGGTGTCCCAATATGCTTCCCCTGTATGCCAAATTGATTGAAAAACATAGCAATCTCCATGCCTCCCTATATCCATTCTCTCCACATTGTGACTTTGTAGCTCCTCCCATCAAAAGGTGTTCTACTTCCTGACTCCTAGAAGCGGGGCTGCCTTGTGATTTACTTTGGCCAACAGGAGTTAACAGAAGTGATGCTTCAGTTCCAAAACTAAGACTGCAGAGTCCTTGCACTCTTCCAGTTACTCTTTTGGAACCCTGTCCAAAGGCAGAATGCGAATCAGCCCAGGCTAGGCTAGAATGACCCAGTCATCCCATTGTCCCAGCCTGTAGCCAGGCAAATGTCAGACACGGAAGTGACACTGTCCTAGACCAGCTCCCAGCCAACCCACCAGCTGGCCTCAAATGCATGAACGAGACCAGCTAAGGTGAGTCAAGCCTCGTCAGACCAAAAAACACCCAGTTGACCTACAGACTCATGGGCTATAACAGATGTTTATTGTTTTAAGCTGCTAATTGCGGTAGATTGTTAACAATAACTAACCAATACAACTGGGGCTGTTATCTGCTTCTCCTAGCAACTTTGGGATATTCAAAGAAGTTAAAGAATCATCTTTCATTATCACCCTAAGTTTCAACAGTTTTTAAATGACAGAAAATAATGGAACTCAATCTATAGGAAAGAAAATGCTCTTTTCACTTTAACATAGGACTTTCCCAGGCCTCACCTAACTTCTTCATTCTGTTATTTTATGGTTGCTAAAAATTAGTATGTGTGTAATGCATAAGGTTTCACAAAAGAGTATATACTGTGTGGTTTCATTTATATGAAATTCTGGGAGATTTTTTGGATGAAGGAAATTTTCTACACCTTGTTGGAGTGGTAGTTACGTAGGTATTTATATTTCTCAAAAGTCATATCTACTCTTTTTCAATGAGTTCATTTTACTATGTAAGAATTGTATCTCAATAAAGTTTATTTTTAAGGTTACAAATCTGGGTTGGCAAAGCAAAAGGGAACTCTTATGTACTACTGGTGGGAATGTAAATTGGTGCAACCACTATGAAAAATAATATGGAGCTTTCTGCAAAAATTAAAAATAGAACTACCATATGATCCAGCAATCCCACATCTGGGAATATATGCAAATGAAGTGAAAATGGTTTATCTGCATCCCATGTTCATTGTAGCATTATTAACAATAGCCTCGCCAGCACTGGTTTGGCTCAGTGGATAGAGCGTCGGCCTGCGGACTGAAGCGTCCCGGGTTCGATTCCCGTCAAGGGCATGTACCTTGGTTGCGGGCACATCCCTAGTGGGACATGTGCAGGAGGCAGCTGATCGATGTTTCTCTCTCATCGATGTTTCTAACTCTCTATCCCTCTCCCTTCCTCTCTGTAAAAAATCAATAAAATATATTTTAAAAAAAGATTAGTCATAACTAATATCTCTCTTTATAAAAACAAAAACAAAAACAAAAAAACAATAGCCTAGATATGGGAACAACCTAAGTGTTCATCAGTGGATGAATAGATAGAGAAGATGTGGTATATATGAGCAATGAGATATTATTCATTCACGAGGTAGAAGGAAATCCTGCTATTTGCCACAACATGAGTGGGCTTTGAGGGCATTATACCAAGTGAAATAAGCCAGACCAAGAAAGACAGATACTGCATGGCATCACTTATATGTGGAATCTGAAAATATCAAATTCATAGTAAGAGATAGTAGAAAAGTGGTTGCCTGGGTGGTGGGGGTATAAAATATGGAGAGGTTGGTAAAAGGGTACAAACTTTCAGTTATAAAATGAATAGGTCTGAGGCTCTGATGTAAAATGTGGTGACTATAGTTGATAACACTGTATAGTATAAGTGACATTTGCGAAGAAAATAGAACTTAAGTATTCATACAAAATAATAAATATGTAAAATTATAGATGTGTTCATTAACTAAATGGGGTCTTTCCTTTACTATATATATCAAATCACAACCATGTATACTTTAAGTAACTTAAAATTTTATGTCAATTATACCTCAATAAAGCTGAAATTTAATTTTTAAAAACACCTTAGGAACTCTATATAATCTTTGAAAGTTAAGGAGAAAAAAATTCAAAATGATGGCAGTGCTCCAATCTCCCGGGGATTATTTCTCTCCCACAGAGATCTTGTTAGGGGTGTCTGGGGAAGAATCCCGCCCCCATCCCTGCCATGTCCACGGCTCGATGGTCCACAGGAAGCAGCTCTAAGACACTCCTATCTGGACCTGCTAATGCTGGTCTCACAGATCCAGCGGTAGAGCCTCTGGCAGACGTCGTCATTCCATTTGCCATCCGGGTGGAAGTGGGCACAGTCCTCACCTCCACCCAGCCCATGCCCCTGCCAGTCGTCTGGCTGGCCCGGCTTCCAGTTCCTGAGGGGGAAGGGCAACAGCAAGTTGGGAAAGTCAGATGGAACAGAGTGGGGGTGGGGAGAAGAGGCTGTAGGTCAGATCCTCCAGGAGGGGAGGAAGAGCACAGAAAGCAAATGTACTCACTTGAAGTTGGTCTCATAGTCTGTTCCATCCACCCATTTCCAGGCTCCTTCAGGATCACTGAGGCCCATCCAGGTATATGAGGAGCCTATGTGCTTCTGGACAAAAGTCTGGGACGACAGAATGACAATAATGTCTTCTCCCCATCCCGACCAACTCCTTGGACGAGGAGTTCTGAACTTTACACGTTCATTATATCAGTTGAGGGGATTTGGGATGTTTATCCCAATGCCCAGGCCAATTGCCGTCAAGCTCTGCTTTAACAACAGAGACTGGCAATTCCATCATTGTGCGAACATCATAGAGTGCACCTAACAAGCTGGATGGGATAGCCTACCGCACACCTAGGCCGTGGCCTATTGCTCCTAGGCTATCGGCCTGTGTGGTGTGTTACTCTACAAAACCACAAGAGATGATAAAATCAAACACAAGAGGAAAGGATGCACAAAAGAGTCACAGAAAACACAAGGTGTATGATATGAGGCTGCTGCCAGCAAAACACAGCATACGTTTAAACAACAAACTTTTTTTATAAGTAGAAAGAATACACTTTAACATAATAATAGTATCTATATATCTAAACAGGTAATATGCAAATTAGCCGGGCATCACGATTGCGTTCTGCCCCAAGCCCCAGCAGAGACACACCAGGGGTGGGGGTGGCGGCAGCGGCCGAAGTGAAACAGCCCCGGTCCCAGATACCTGGCAGTGGCAGGAGCAAAGCAACCCGGGTTCCGGGTGCCTGGCAGCAGCCAGAGCAAAGAAGCCTGGGTCCTGGGTGCCGGAGGGAAGCTGCTGCCGGCAGCCAGGGGAAGGAAGGCCTATTCTTGCACAAATCTTTGTGCATCAGGCCTCTAGTCCTATCTGGAAAAAAAAAGAGTAATATATAAATTAACCGTCACTCCGCGACAAAAATGGCAGTGCCCATAGTGGCTGGGACAGGATGATGGCAATGTCGCCCGGCAATGTGAGCCCAGCGTCCGCACCCCAGCCGTGTGGAAGGAGGGGAGGGGAGGGGCCCCAGGTTGGAGGCCGGGTCGAGGGACGCTGGTGTCATTGCAGACCAGGCTGAGGAACACTCCCCCGCCCCCAACCCTGTGCACGAATTTCGTCCACCAGGCCTCTAGTAGTATCATAAATGCATAAATCAGTAAAAGTTGTTTATTACCATTTGCAAGTACACTATACTGTGCATAATTGTAAGTGCTGTGCTTTTATACATATGACTGGCAGTGAGGTAGGTCTGTTCACACCAGCATCAGCACACACACCTGAGCAATGTGCTACGCTACATCATGACGGCTACTGCCCACTAGGTGAAAGGAATTTTCGGCTCTAGTCTAATCTTATGAGACGACTGTTATCTCTTTGGTCCATCCTTGCTGAAATGTCATTGTGTGGCCCATGATTATAAATCCCTCAGGTGTGGCTCACATCGCCATGGTTTTAAAGCTCTCTGGTGATACCAGGGAGCAGCAAGAGTGGAGAACCGTTTCTTTAGTGGGGCCAGTTCTCAGGATCTGAGCTCAGACCTGAGCCCTCACCTGCTCCTCTCTGGAGTTGATGACAACCAGGTGGGCATTCTGCAGCTGGCAGTACTTCTCGGCTTCGGGCCAGGGCTTCCCAGTACCAGAGACCCAGTAGCAGCTGCCTTCATGTGCCAGAAGCCGGTCCATCCTTGCTGCTTGACACAGTCGCTGCAGGAAAGAAACATCTGCACAGCATATGTTTCAAGGGACCTGGCATATATAGCATATTGTTCTTAATATGTTTGCTCTCCTTAGTGCCATGTGTTTTAACCAAGGTCACCTCTCTGAGAAAGGTTGTTTCCCCAGGTGGGGATTTTTCCCTGAGGTTAGGGAAGGGATACAACCCCTTAATTAAGTGCCAGGCGGGTAGTTAAGCTACATAATCTTTACTCCCTGGAATGGAGATAAGAAACGCCCTAACCTTTGTAATAGAAATTGACAGGATTAAAATCGGCTGGTATAAATACGGATGTAACAAGACAATAAACATCAGATCCTCATCAGATCCTCATCAGTTCCTAACCAGAACTCCTGACCAGAACTTTGGAGATCCTGGCTAGAGGTCCTGACTAGGCTGCTGATCAACTGAAGGCTGTCTTCCTGTCATCCTTCTTCGCCGACTC